TGGCCCTCAAGGCCTACCTCCAGTCCCCTCTTCTTCCAGGGAGCCTTCCGCACCTGTCAGGCCCCGGTGATTTATCTCCTTTCATGCAAAACTGCTTCTCTCCTCCTCTCCTCGAGCTGCTCGGCATTGCAAACATAGTGTGCAAGAGATGAATGAATGGGTGAGTGAATGAAAGACGGAGCACTCTTGGCTCCCTACACAGACTTGCTTTAAATGAAGGGAGAGATGTAGGCTAAGTGGGTTCCCTCGGGGCTCAGCAGGGAGCCATGGAGACACCCTCTCCCTCCGTCTTCCTCAGTGCCCCCTCCTAGGCACCCGCGTCCCTACCGAGCCAAGGGTCGCCGGGCCCTATTGACGGCCTCCAGGTCGGCGTAGCGCAGGTCCAGCTGGCAGCCCACCAAGATGACAGGTGCCCGGGGGCAGAAGTGCTTGATCTCGGGGTACCACATGGTCTTGACATGGTGAAGGGAGTTGGGGTTGGCAATGGAGAAGCACAGAACCACCACGTCGGACCTGGGGGTGGGAGAGCGAGGTTTGTTGCAGAGGAAGCTAGCAGAGTACCTGCCCCTGGAACCAGGGAGAACAGGCATGCCCACCCAGCCCGACACGCAGTCCCCCATCTGTCATGTGGCCTGTGCACACGATCTTACCCAAAATGTATAATAATAGTACCTCTAACTTATGTAGCTCTAATTTAGTGTTTTAGAGCTTTCGTTTTGACCTACTGCCTGTTGCTTTTACCACCTAGAGACTGAGAAAAACCATCTCCGAACAGCTCCCCTAATTGCCCAAAGTCACAGAGCTAGTCGGCAGCAGGGCCGGGCTGAAACCAGGCCTCCTGACTCCAAACCCACTCCTTGCACCTCCCGCTGCTCCCCGTGAGGGCCGCCAGGCCTGTCCACTCTACTCCTCCCTCCCAGTTTGACTTTCTCAGAGCTGCTCTGCTTTGGGGGGAGGTAGGGAAGCCCCCCCACCCCCCGCCCCGGGCTCCCTCAGGCAGCAGAGGCTTCCTACCTCCCATAAGCAAAGCGCCGGTCTTTGTGGTGGTCTCCAAAGGTATCCCAGAGGCGCAGGGAGACACTGACGTCGTCTACCACATCTCGGGAGCGTTCCAGAACCTGTGGGGGAGGGAGAGTGCGGTGGGAGTCAAGGGCAGGAGTTCTTGGGGCCCACGTGTCAGCTCAGGGTGGTGCCAGCTCACCCCAGGGGGTCCCGGGCAGCCTGGGAGGTGAAGGGCAGAGTTAGCACCGCCCCATGTGCCTCACACAGCCTTTCTATCCTTCTCTACAGACTCAGTAACAAGGGCACCCTCCATGCCGCCCAGGAGGAAAGAGAGTCTAAGCGGGCAGAGGGTCATGGGGGTTCCCAGCGTCACCCACAGGTCACCTGTCTACCAGCCTCTGACCTTCTGGTATCAGCCAGCAGTTTCCTTCTCTCAGCTCTCATCGCTGCAAACCCCACCCCACCCCATCCCACCCCCTGGGGCTCCCCATTACTGGGGCTGGGATTGCACAAGACACTGGGCCCCGGCATCAGGTCAGCCATGCTAACCACAAATGGTGGAGGACCCCCCACACTGGGCAGGCTCCCCCAGCCCTCTCCCCAGGGCTCCTTCCTCTTCAGCTGCCCCACCCTAACCCCCCCGGGGCTTCCGTGAGCTCAGCACCGGCCAGGCAATGGCTTGGGCAGAAGCCCGGAGGCCTGATGTGGACCCCTGCCCAGCGGCCTTGCAGCCTTACCTCCTGGCACACCCGATACTGGTCGATGGCCCAAACCGTGGGCACATGGGTGGCGAGCAGCTGGTACTGGGTGAGGGTGGCATTGCAGGCCCGGGCACAGATGAGCCTGGTCTTGCCCACAGCGTTGTCCCCCACCACCACGCACTTGATGGTCTCTACGTTTGGCCTTTCATAATCCATGTCAGAATCCATTAATTGGGACCTGAGGGGGAGGAGAGGAGCGGTCGAGACGGCTTCGCACACCAGTTCCCACGGGGCCGGGGCCAGCAGCTCTCCTCGGCCGGCCGGGGCGCCCCTCTTCCAGCAGGCGAGCAGAGAGGAGGAAGGAGTGGACAGCTTTCTGGGCAGCAGAGCCCACTCAGGCTGAGAGGAGCCTTGCTGCCGGATGAACCACTTATCTCCCTCCGGTGGCCGCCATCCTCCACCTGAGCTTCTCGATGGAGGAGGCCTGGAGAGAACCCAGGTGGAGCTGTCCCCTCTCCCAGAGGGAGGAGAGCCTGCCCGGGAAGCTCACTCATCACCACTCTCTTCCGCCAGCAGAGCTACAAACAGCTGAGAGAAGCGGAGTCAGGGCCAGGTCCCACCCCTTCCCAGCAGGCCTGAGGGCAGGGCCACTTTAAAATTTAATGGACTTGTCAGAGCTGGGAGGCAGCTCTCCTGGCCTCCACCTTCTTCCCTCTCCTTTTCCGGTTGTGGGTTTCCAAGCCCCCAGCTCCCTTTATGGAGGTGCCAGAGTTCCCCCCCCACCACCAATCCGTCTGGGTGGGAGGCTTCTGGATGCACCTGAGCAGCCCACGGGCTTCCCATCCCTCCTGTGGGCTGTCACGTGGCCTGTGTGGCTGGCTCACTCAGCGGCAGGCTCAGTGTTGAGATGGAGGTAATGGGTAACCATGGGCCAATGAGATACACTCCACGGCCAGCGGGCCTTATCGTCCGCTATCCAGGCCTGCCCTGCAAACATCCTCCAGCCAGCCTCTGAAAGAGCAAGCTACACCCCCTCTTGTACCTCCCATTCCTAGGGAGACCTACAAGGGGACTCCCTAAATTGGCTGCAAGGGTGACGGGGATGCTGGGGGCAGCGAGCACAGGGTCAGAAAGGGGCCTGAGTTTCTGGGCAAATGCTTGCTTCAGTTCCCTTCTGTGTAGGACAGAGAGGGAGAGGTGTGTCCACCCTCAGAAGATGGTTCAACTGAACAAGCAGGAGGACCTTCTATAATCAACGCGTCATGTCATCATGTAACGTCGGTGTTTACAAGCTGCCACCGGAGGGGCCCTGGGCTGGAGGGGGCTTTCGCTGGCAGCCTCCCTGCGGGCACCGCCCTCTCAGAAGCTGGGGCGTTATTATCAGGCCTTTCTTTGGCCAGTGTCATTGGTCTCCTGCTCACGTGCCCTGTGTGAATGAAGTCCGCTGGGGGCTGGGGCAGCTTGGAGAAAACCTTCTGAGGACCAGGAAGGCTGAGCTCAGAGGAGTGTGGAGGCTGTCCAGGTGCCCTCACTGCTGAGCCACCCAGTCCGAGCGCCAGGCCACCAGCCGCCGCCCAGGAGTGCCACTCCTGCCGGGCTGTAACTGGATGCCAGCATGCAGGCACACGGAGTCAAAATACCCAAGTAACGATGGCAACTGGGATTTGCGCAAGTGGAAGCATCTCAGCAGCCTAAGCAGAAAGCGCAGCAAGGACTTCTCAATGAGACGAGTCCTCCTCCCTGGAATTTTACAGGATCTGGACCCGGAACAGCAGGGTCTCATGCAGGTCGCTCCCCAGGGTCAGGGTAACAGCATCATTCCTCTCCCTTCTCCACCCCACCCTCACCGTCCCCGTGGGCAACCTTTATTGTAACCACCACGCTGCCTCCTCCCTGCTCTCCCTCCTGAGCTGAGGACCAGGGACCTTAGTTTGACAGCTCCCGGACTCAAGCAGGCTGCAGGGAGGGTGTGTTGGCGCTGGGAGGAATCATCTGGGTTGCGGTTTCTGTTTTATCAATTGAAGAACAAAACAGGTAGAGCCCCAAATACAAATATAGACACAGCTGTAGGAGAAAAAGAAAAACATACTAGCCAGTAGAACTTCTTTCTCACATTTAGATTCTAGCGCAGGCGGGGGTTAGGGGGGGGATTGTGAGGAGGCAGGGAGAAGGAGGGTCAGTTCTTAAGTCCAGGAGCCTCTTGATGGCAGGGAGGATGCCAGCACAGCAGAGCAGTGCTGGTCCAAGATCAGCAAGTTTATGATAAAGCGCTCATGCTCAAGTGCATCGGCAAGGCGGCCTGGCTTCCTAAGGAGGTGGTACTGAGGCTGTGGCTACCCGCTCCTATCCCCACAGGCCATCTTCCTGCTGTCTGTCCAAACGTTCTATCAATCCCCTCAAGCCCTGGTTTCCCTTTTCAGACCACCACGACCATGAAAAGCCTCACCATTTGTGATGGAAAAGTAGTGTGCTCTGTACAGAAAGGGAATTGTGAGGCAGAAACACTTGAGTTTAAACTGCCTTACGCATACGGGGTTACGTGGGGACAGCCACCCGAGTAGGAGAGCGACGCGCACTGTGCTGTGAGTTTAGACACCAGACCTGATGCTCGGACTGGACGGCCCCTCCCCATCCTCCCCCTGCTCCTCCTTCGCTTCCTCCCTATTTCCATCATTCTCACCCCCTCCACCCCTGTCCCAACGGCCTGACTGGTAAACTTCTTTGTCATACCCAGGAAAGGGCAAATCACTTCACTTCTCTGGGTGTCAGTCTGCCCTTCTGGAAAATGGGTATGAGGGCTTTGGAAGAAAGTCTCCTGGCTCTTGGTGAATTTGTGCCAGTAGAGGCTGGGCTGAAAGGAGGTCCTGGCCGTCTTATGTAATGTGGGGTTATATAATGCTAGATTACATATCTATATGTGTAATTATATCGCTCTTTAGGATGCAGCCTGGCCCGACTGGGCCAGCAGAACTCTTAGTTTCATTGGGCCTGCCTTAAACAAAGATCCTACTACTGCACTGCAGCTAGCGTGCCACCGGCGATAATGTGACTTTTGCTCTAAAATATTGCTACTTTACTGTATCATTGATGATGTGTGGTGATATAACCCACTCCATGAGCTTCTCAACTTCCCACTTCCTTCTGGCACCCTCTCCTTCAATGACGCTTGACTTTTCTGCACAAATGCCTCATCCCCATGCCTTCCGAGACTCCTGAATAACCTCCGTGAACGACAGCTTCCATGCCACCCTGGCCTGGCGTCACAACACACAATTCACTCCTCTCTCAGCGATCCCAGAGTCACCTAGAGGCTCCCTCCCACCCGGTCCCGTGATCCCTTTCCAGAAACAGCCTCTTGCCCGCTGCTCTTCCAGCTCTTTGTACTCAGGGCAGACCCAAAGGCAAGGTGCGCTCAGATTACCTACAGCCCTCACTGGCTCCCAATCCCACCCCCACACCCCACAAACACACAGAAAAGGCCCCTTCCCCTTCCACAGCTGATAGGAGGCTTGTTCATCTGTGGCTGCCCTAGTCTGGTTGTCAAGGAAACTACAGAATCTCCCTGGGAGCCTGGCTTGTCTCCTAGCAACCAATATCCCACACCTTGCATCTTACAAAATGGGTAAGGGAGGACTATCCTAAAAATGAAGGTAAAAATAAAAGAGGATGAATGGGAGGGATGAATTGGGAAGAGATGAGCAGAGAGGGTGCCCCTCAAATGAAAGGCGGCTCCGACCAGAGTCTCTGACATTATAACATGAAGGAAAATAGAGAGATGAGTCTCCCGGAAGATCCAGTGGTCAGCAAGGCCCAAAGGGATCTTGAATGAGCATATTAACAAAAATGCAAGCCTAACACAGCCTAAGCCTTCTCAGACACCGACGATCAGTGCTGAAGGTTTCTCCCAGCAGTTTGCCAGAACTCAGATGCACAGACTGCAATGTGTTGGGCTGAAAACACACACACACACACACACACACACACACACACACACACATCTGGAACGACAAGCAAAGCACCCAAATTCCATTGGTTTTTAACGGAAACATTTCCACCACTCTGGACCTTTTTTCCCGACACACACACAAAATACAAATAAAATAAATTTAAAGAGGGAAGGGGAGAGGGCCTCCACACACCAAGGCAATCAAGTCACCTTCGTTTCCCTAGAAAACCCCGGAAAAGGTAAGCCCCCTGCCACCTGAGACCCCAGCAGCTGCAACTAGCGCCCAGGGGGGAGTGGGAGCCGAGGGGTAGTCAGGAGGGGCGCAGACAGGGCCCGGAGGGCGCAGGAGGGCGCAGCGGCGCGTTCCCAGAAGCTGTTTGCAACGCGGCCATAAGAGAAATTAATCATTTACTTACACCACTACATGTGACGGGGTGATTTCTAGTGTAAGGAACACATCTCTTCCTGCTAAGCACGCTCATTTTAGGGAAATGTCTGGGGTCACTCCGCGCGTGCAAGTTAGGACGATGCCGGCGCCGCCGAGCTGCTGCTGCTGCTGCTGCTGCTGCTGCTGCTGCTCCGGCTACAGGCCCGGGCCCTGGCGCGTCA